TGTGGTGTTAGGGTTGTCTGGAATTTCCGACGTTTGGCGAATAATCTCCCAGTTGGGGATTGGAACACGACAATTAGGCCGGAACGTATGAAAATGGAGATTGTGGAAGGGTTTGCCGCGTGCATTGAGAATAGAGCCATGAAGAGATATAGGGAGTAAAGCCTTCATGCGCGTAGTGTTTTCATATCGCGATGGATCGGGTAGACGTTGGACCAACTTGTCCGACTTCGCCGTGGGTCCATTTCCATTCCCACCCCAAGGTATCCAACTGGTTAGAGACATCCGAAGTTGTGGCGGTGAAATATTGAACTCGACTTGTTCTGTCCTGAGTCGTCCTCTAAGCAGTGAGAGCACTGCCGTACACCGATGCACGGAACCATAACCTACGGCGTCGAGAGTCCAACCGGGAAGGCAAAGTTCCGTGCCGCGTGCTCGGTTATTGTCATCAGGGCGCCATCATGGCCACTTTGAGGGCCACGTCGCTGCCCTTAGGAGGCACCTGCCAGTCGTACTACAATGTAGCGTCTGAGGTAGGCCAAAGGTGCATATTACACTGAAATAAGGTGCCTCAATTTATCCATAGTATTGGAAAGACAGCAGTTCAGTTGTTAATAGTGCACTTTCCTTGGCAACTGTGTCCAACAGATAGTCTTCTCCATGAGCATGAATCGTGATCTGTGGGAGGCTGGATCCGAATAGGCAAGCCATCAAACCAACATCACTGGAGTGGTGCACCCCTGTGTTTGAAGTCATGTCAGGGCGAGCATCGAGAGGTGATTTTCATTGTCGAAGTTGGATTCCCACCGCATCATGGCAGTGTGGATGCTTCATAACTTGATTGTTGGGCGGTTTCGGCTAGGGCTGTCAAACTTAGTTGAATATGATCATACGGATTGGCAATGAGGCGGGTAAGTCAACCTATGCGAGCAGGACCCTGAACACCAACTGTCCTTTCGCTACCAGGATGGAAGTGGCTTTAAGCCATCACGGTTGTGTGGGTAACAACGGTGGATAGTGAGCGGTAGGCGCCCTCTGGAAATCGACTGGCCGACTTGATGATAACGTCCATCTTCAGCAAATCGAGATGGATCCAGTCGAAGCTGTGCGTACATTAATCCTTGACAAAGTGCCAATGGAATTGAATAGGATAGCACTGGCGTGGGGGACTTTTGGCTAGGTAAGAGCAGAGGGGACATTCTGCCACTTAGGAGTTTGAGAGCATGAAGGGACGAGCTGCAGGGTGTGCCAGGATATGGCATGTGCAAAGAGGATGGGTACCTGGTAAACCTCCACTCCGTCTGGTAGGCAACAGCGACGGAAAGACTCCAGCGGTCTTTACCATTTGTCAGCACAAAACTCTCGATCTCCCGGCCATTCTGGGTATCTGAGCTGTGTGCGCATCGATTGGCCTAGTCCCACCGAAGAGAAGAAAATACACCAGGCAATGAGCATGAGTGGCAATCAATGCATAGTTCTTAGCGCAGTAAAGGATGAGATGTGTCACCAGTTTCCTAGCATATTGTTTGAACTTGGACTCCCTCGCAAGTGCTATGCATTCGCGGCTTCACGTGCTGGGGGGTGGTAGTGGCAAAACGTCGGAGCCAGGACAACAGGTTCTCTTTCTCACCTGTTCGGCCCACTCGAATCAATTCAACTTGGGGTTGGATGACTTTAGATCATTTGACCAAGTTGACGACAGATGAGATGCTCGATTGGAAAATCCTAGAGCTTGACCAAATGGAGGGGAGTCTTCAGTCGAACTGCTTGGGGTTGTCCCTCACAAAAGCGGAGTCCGCGGAACAGTGTTTTAGAGGCCACAAAACCCTCGCATTGGTGACTGATCCACAAGAATCATCATCGTGAAATATATCCAATGACTTTGGAATCCAACCTGCAGTGCACGAATGTGGCACTCTTCGGATTGCTAGAGGGATAAGATTATCGCGGGTGGTAAATGTTTTGTACCTTGGTAGCGTGGTCTCAACAAACCCGCCAAGAATTACACAGCCCAACCATCCCTCTTTCAGCTGATGTCACATGTAACTTCGTCTGAGCGCTTAAGGACCCGACTGCGACTGAACTTCGCCAGCAACAATATGAAGCCGCCCACTCCTCTCTCTCTCACTTCGAGCAACCATGGCACGACGAGACAGTGCAACCATTCCGAAGACCAGAAGACAGTCCCTGAATCTGCAACATCAAGATCATTTATCCACTTCCTCCTTCAGTGCACGACTGACCAGCAAGGGGAAACGCCCTCAAGGTATCATCAAAGGACAAAAGCAAACGCCTCATCGACGGAGCGCACGTCTGGACCGCTTGATTGAGGTCGATGAGACTCAGCCAAAAGACAGCCAGCAGCCTCTGCCATCGCCAATCAGCGACATTAAAAGTCCTAAAGTAAGTCGTTAACGTTATGCTGCAATGCAAGATTGACCCAGTACAGCGTGCACACCCACCTCCTACCTTTCTACCATCGAAGACTCCAAAGCGGAAACGAGAAGCTGAACAGCAACTAAAATCGCTCTCTTCAAAACGACCGCGAACATCCCGTTCCGAACCCTCTCTTCGAGACGTTGATTCCGTTACATATTGGACGAAGACATACCACTGGCCGCGAGAGTACTTCAATGAAAGTGGCGAAATGAGTCACTTATTGGCGAGAAAGAAATCCGCAGCCTCACTTCGCCGAAAGCGGTCGGATAGCGGGTCGGGCGCACCCAGCTCAACCACACCCAGTGACCAGAAGGCCAGGGAGGAGAAGAGTGCTCCTTACAGAGATCCACGTTACAGGGTGCTCCTCGAAGCTACGGGAAGCTATATGGACAGATCCGACCTAGACATCACAAATAAGAGTAAAGCCCTCTGCCGGGACTTGATGGCAAAGGAGCAAACGATTCCCAAGGATTCTATATTCTCCGACAACGTGTTTGAAAAAGCCTGCAGAAAGTTCCAAGACAAGAACGAGGCACGGGTTATCCAAGATATAGGTCGACTAATCGTTCCATCTGCGGAGACTCTGGCTACATTCGGTGCAGAACAGCTCGATAAACTTGTCGAAAGCGTCAACGAGGGTTGGAACAACTCTATTCCTGTTACCAAGACACGACCCCAACCAGACTATTCTGTGGGTTTCAAACGCTCGGCATTCACAGAAGATCAAATTCAGAGACTTCAACCATTCGTTGGCGACCTCTTTGACAGCTCCTTCTTTATGGGCACCTGGTACATGTACTTCCCCTTCTTCTCGAGCGAAGTGAAGTGCGGTGCGGCCGCACTCGATGTTGCAGATCGACAGAACGCGCACAGTATGACGCTCGCAGTTCGGGGAGTCGTGGAACTGTTCCGGCTTGTGGGGCGCGAGCAAGAGCTTCATCGGGAGATCCTCGCCTTTTCCATCTCACATGACAACGAGACTGTGAGGATTTATGGCCACTATCCTGTGATCGAGGGTAAAAAGACCACGTTCTACCGGCACACCATCCGCAAATTCGACTTCACAGAACAGGATGGTAAGGAGAAATGGACGGCATACAAGTTTACCAAGAGCGTCTATAACACCTGGATGTCTGCTCACTTCGAGAGGCTTTGTTCGGCGATTGACGCAATACCTCCCGATATAAACTTTGAACTCCCAGAAGAATCCGAATTGCAATTCCCCTCATCATCTGGACTTTCGCAAGGACTGGAAAGTCATTACCTCTCGGAGTCAGGTGCTACAAGTAACGACGAGCTGAGGCTCCTCGATCCTCGGGAAGCTACACCAGAAACTTCTGTTACCCGAACATCAGAACAGACAGCTTTTAAAAAACCAAAGAAGAGATGAGACTGAGTATTCACACAGCTAGAGCTTCTGGAGATAGAAGGTCTGATTGGGCCAAGCTCTATTCGCCAATATTACTCTCTTCCAAGCTGCTATTACGATGGTGTGCGGGAACAAGTTTGGCCCCAACGGAGTTACTCGTATCAAGTATAGGTACCAATATCCACAGCACAGAGAAATTCTGTACATGATTTATCAAGAGAACCTTTTGCGAAATACTTCGCAAGGGTCGTACTACTGTTTGGACATGGCTCTCGAACGCTATATCTGCCCCGCAAATAGATTGATATCGTGAATGTAAATGCATCTCTGGTGTGTCGTAGTCTTCGAGTTACAGCCAGGAGTAGTACCTACACTCTTACATCAACCTACAGCAATGAAATTCCCTATGTGTACAATTTCCTGTGCTCAAGCGGACACTCCAGGTTGACCCTGAATGGCACATGCATCAACTCAAAGGCTAGTTCATGACGGGTGATATGGAGACTTTCCGATAGGGGCTACAGTTTGTAAAAATGCTAGGTGTTGGGCGCGTGAGCAAATAGATAGTGCTGAGATCGTCTGTAGATGAAACAGCCTCGATCAAAACTCTTCATTGGAGACATTATGCCTTGTCGAAGAGATAATTCAGTTCTACCATCTGTGACTATACAGTTGATCGCACCCAGGCTTCCGGCCGATCGCTCGAATGGGGACGCGATGCAATCACACAACTCCAGAGAAGGCGACGCGTTGCCGGTGAACTGGTACGTACTGAATTATTTCGACTAGATCTGCTCTCCCAGTCGTATCCAAGATATCCCATGACCTTATTGTGGACGCCTGGGCGCCCATAGGCTTTGCTCATTATCAACAAGTCCATGAAAATTGTTCCAGCTCTTGTGGTACCCGACAAAGCTCATTGGCCGCATCATAGCAAAGGCAGAATCGAGCATCATGGAAATATGGGCAGCAAACCCAAGACTCAAAAGTATCGTCCCTGGAGGTGGGCAAGCAACCATGCGGTCGCAGTCTGAGGTGGCAGTGACAGAATCAAGTACAATTCACAAACGTCCTGGCTCACGCCAAGAGAAGACGATTCGACGGCCAGCTCACCCATTTTGGGTAATTGGGTGATGCCGCCCTGTGCTCTTGGCTCGGACGCGATGTCGGCCCCTGCTCACTGAAGCGGGTCACCTTTACACGGCTGTGATTGACCGTCACGGTACATGGTTGCAGCGCCCAGGCTGTATCCGAATCTGTTCAACCAGATTGGGAGACAACTCAAAAGCAGCGCCGTTGGATCTATCCTTTCGAGGCTGGCGTCTTAGCGATTCTCCTCACCACCTACCACATATGCCCACTCCGTCAATTTTGCCACACTCGAAGGAGTCAGTTCAGAGATATATTGAGGGGGATGCCCCTCGCTGCTTTCACCAATTCTGACGTTCCTAAGATTCCCAGTTCTGTCGCGCCTCCGCTCCCAACTTCTGCTGGCTGTTCAACAACACCAACGCTCTTGCAACCGTCTCGAGAGCAGCCCGAACCTTGTGCAGCTGGGTCTGATAGTCTGTTCCTGCGTGCGAGGTCCAACCGATGCCCCAAGCCTGCCACCTCCTTCCCTCGCCTCCCGTGTCGACGTGCCGCCAGATCCAACGTTCAGCCCCAAGCATGGTCACGAAACCCTGCGGCTGCATCGTATCACATTACCCGGTTCCATGAGGAGCTTGCGGTTACGGAGACTTAGACCTGACTGGAGGTTTCTTGGTTCTGGCGAAGGATGGACCTGTTTCTCCTCCATGGTCTGCTCCAAGCCCTCGATGGCGGGTCCAACCCCAAGCATTGTTTCGACAAGGGTGCATGGGCGTGCCACCCATAGGATCCTCCTGTGGGTCGAGCGAACCGCCCGATCTTCGATGCAATCCAATAGCAGAAATACCTCACAAAAGGACATGCATGACGGATGAGACAGTGGGCTGGCCCTATAAGCACAACTCCGTGTCCGGTCGGCTCGCATAAGTTCCGAACAGTGGGTTGCAACGCACGTTGCTAAGCTCGAGTTCTACCTCGTTGGGGTCTGTAGTGCGCATGTGGTTTGGGGATGGCGTGCGACATATTTGCCGAGACCAGGTTCAGTGGTCGACGGACGCATTATTAGCAGAATGTTTTGTCTCTATTGTGAAAGGGGATGGAGATTTGAGCGCAATGCGCATCGAACCCCGTTGAGGGATTCGTGGAACAGTGGCTGGCGGGGGACTCCTCAATCGGTCTCAGAATGCCTTCCGAGAGAGTGTGAAGGTGTGCACGTCAAAATTGGCTATGCGGAAGGTCGAGAGCATACGGCTCTGGAAAGGCAGAGGAATGGACATATCAGCGCACTCTGGACAGAAAAGGGAGACTTAAGTTGGGTTCGGGCAAGCGGCGACAAGAGAAAGAGAGGGAGCGTATACCCGTTTGCTTTTTGATCCCGACACACAGCGATATGCAGCCACCCGGATCAGCATCGACCCAGCTAGTGCCAGCTAGTGCCAGCTAGTGCCAGCTAGTTCCAGAGTTGTTGAACTCTTCTGACCACACAAACGTGTGAACAGCGGGAGAACAGGGTAACAGAGTTAAGGATGCCGAATTCGGGTAGTACTGGGCGCACGGCAGAGGGGAGAGAGTTGGGGACAGCATGTGCAGTGTCAGGGCGATGGTAAAGGGCATTTAAGGACCGAGTCTTCCAGCTCCTTCTCAACCAAAGTCGGATTCTTGTCTCTCTCCTGCCTCTCAAAGTGGCTGAAGCCCTAGTCTTCGTCGTCCGCAGGACCATCGCATTTGGGATCGCGGAAGCGGTTCACTGCTGCTGGTAGTTCGAGTTCTGGTCGGGCTCGGAAGGTGCACAAGATCCTTACCACCGCCTCCGCATCTCAGAATCACACCTATCCCTCCTGCGAGACAGTGGACGACCTCGTCTTCGACGTGGGGGTGGGTTCAGGGCGTCTCAATGTCATCTAAATTATGGAGTGTTGTTTAGAGAGCTGTTCGAAAGTCGTGGTCTCAAGATAGTTCTTTCGCAGGAGATGTCAAGGCGTCCAAAAGGGGGTAGCCCTCGCCTTGCTCAGAGAACCAGTTGATTGAAAACCTTCCCTCCCAAACCTGCCATCCCCAGAGTCCCAAATATGCCGTTTTCAAATTCTACCTTACTAGCCTACATTACTGAGCTTGACCATGGAAGGGGACTCGCAAATCTTTGTCAATGCCTCGGCAAACGAACCTCAGTGGGAGCTGGTCACATTGCTCCTTAAGCAACTTAACAATCATATGGAGGGCGGTCAAGAGACGAGCAGGAGGTCGATGGCTTATGAATTGCCCCACGTTCGCCAGCACTTTGCCATACGTCGCCTTCGCGCTGCCACGATGAGGGCTGTCGAGGAAGATGAAACCCAGCGTCGCATCCTTCATCGACCGGTATAATGGTTCTAGCCGTGCTTGGAGGAGAGTCTAGAACAAAGGTCAGCACTCGGCGGATTCCACGGACAGTCCTAGCATCGTCATCCTTGTTTCACCACAATTCCTCCGAGAGGGTGCGACGAATTTGAGAGGACGTACGGCAGTTGATGTCGTTGCATTCTGAGGAGTGTACACGATGGACAGTGCCATGGAAAGAAGCGAGTCAGTCCGTCAGGCCACTGTCGCATTTACCTTCCAGAAGCTGACTGCATTGAAGTCGCCGCGACAATGTAGGCGTCGACTGCACGAAGGGTAGAGTGATAGATAGTGTATTAGTGCAGCAAGAGGCCGCAGTAACAGCAACATCTTTCACAGCCTCGAGCAGTTCAGCTCTCATGTGGCCATTCAGCCCGCACTATGTGGCATGAGGCTGTCCTCTGGTTCGTCAATTTAGTCGCAACTATTGTCATGACGTGGATGTTTTGGCAGTTTACCTGATGCGATTCCAGTGTTTTGAACATAGCCTTCCTACCATGATTTCTATATAGATTTGTACTAAAATGACGACTTGCGAGCTCGCCTGTAATACTTGCGTGCATCTCCTTCTACCCGGGGGTGCATTGCTATCGCTCCTTGTGAACCTGTTATTCCACCTGTTCCAAAGTCGCCGCCGAGGTTGTTATCGGAGCCGTCCCGGCGCTTGCTGCATACGCCTGGACCGTTGGTTCTCTCTGGGCTGTAAACTACACTGTTGCATATTTATTTCCATTATTAAAGACTAGATGTCGAGTTACTAGCTTCAAGGCTATCCATAGGAGTAATCGGCGTTTTTACCGACCTAAGTTTAGTAGCAGGATGCTCGTGAAGCACTAGCGTGCCAAGGTACTTAACCTTGAACAGTGCCGCCGAGCAGGTTATATGAAACAAAGCCTCCAAGCTCTGATCGCCAGAGCCGCGCGCCTAGAGAGCTGGTTGCTCTCGTCCAATCATTCTACAGACTGTCAGCTGCTTCAACTACTTTTAGTAACCGTCAGTTGCAGAAAGGGGAAACACGGGTACATGGAAATTGGCGCTCCAAGTCATTAAATACCCAAGGCGGGACCGCCCTGGACGCTTGTCCAAAACTACTATGAAATCCTTCAACTGGTTAATTTATCCCGCCAGAGACGGCGGGTTTCTGTTCATTATTTTGCTCAGAGCAGTGGTCAGACGGAACCTAATGGCTGCACAATGCAACGACTGCTTCAGCAAATGTTTCTGCCTCGTGAGGAGTCGGATGATCTGGAAAAAAAGGGCCAATCTGTCATTGAGCAAGTAACCTACAATAAGCGGTCGGAATTCGTCCAATTACTGTTCGATGTCAAGCCCACGGCCATTACGAATTTCCCTGGAATCGAGTCATTCTGCGACTACTTGGAGCATGATGCTTTCCAGCCATTGATGGGTCCAACCTTTGGTTTGATTTGGGGCATGATATCCTGTGCGAATCCCAAAGAGATAGCAGACTGCTGGGACTGGAGTCTTGCAGTATTGCAGGTGCTACGATCAGAACAATCAGGAATCAGCATACACGACCTGTTTCAGCGCCTCGAGCAGAGTGGGAACTCCAAGCAGAAACTGGGACCGGAGCAGGACAAGAGCTACGTCTACATTGCCATCTTTGGGGTTTTGTGTTGGTCAAGCCTGGTTGTGCGGCCCAGGTTGATCTTCACAGACGATGTAGCGCCGAACTTAACATGTCTCCTGCCACTCGGGTTCAAATCGACCAACGCTTCCACTTCCCACAGAATAAGCGACAGGTGTATGCGACCAATTCTGACCACCTTTCGGTCATTCAAGCCACAGCACTGGGGTGACCAGTCAGATGACCGTACACAGATTGGAGCGACAGAGATGGACAGCCTATACCAGGCAAGTCTTAACATCCATGTACTACGCCACTTTGGAAAGGTCACGATTCAATGGGTCGATACCATCAGCGAGCATCTCCGATTCAATCCAGCTAACCGCCGGCTGTCCTTGTTTCGCTTTCCGACATTCTGCGCATTGCTTGTCATCCATGGAGATAACGTTTGCTCAGCGATTCGAAGGTATGATGCACATCGTAGTGCTGGTTTTTATTAGCGTCGATTGTAGCTAAATCTTGATAGTGTTGCCGACCAATTCGACCCCTTGTCCCAGGAGGATAGAGATCAGTGTTGCGTCAGTCTGGAGCAAGAGATTATACTCTCCTATCGTCTTCTGTTTGGACAAGATGGCAAGTCCAGAAAGCTTGCACGTGGAGAAGTCTGTAAGTTGAAGAGCTCGTTAGCAAAGCAGAATGTGGACGTCATGCTCTTGGATCTCTGCGAGCGCAAGTACGAGCACGGCAGTCTGTGGTGGAAGAGGTACGACAAAGTCCTGCGAAGCTATCCTTCAGAGATATGGCCAATCACATGTCGGACCATAGAAGGGCATCTCCAGCAAAACGACGTGTACAACGCTCGAGATAGCTTCCCAAGACTCGGACCACGGTTGATCAAGCTCCAGCAATTCAGTTCACGTCAGCGTCCCAGCAAGTTGACTGATCTGTGGCGCGACAGGCGAAATCCTCTGCAATGGTACACATTCTGGGCTGTGTTGCTGGTTGGGGGCGTGGCGAACGTCCTGGCAGCGCTTCAGCTTGCGGTTGGTGTTGCTCAATTGAAAGCCTCGTTGTAGAATACTGCCTACCTTCAGCTATTGGCTCCCAATGTTCCAGAAAAGCTACCACATGACCAAAAAGAACGATGATACCAATTGGCACCGGGTTACAATTCCTTATATCGACACTTTGGCTACGGACAAAATATCGTCATTACATTGCTTGGCGGTCAGGAGCACAAGACAGAGTCCACCGCTGCCTTCGCCTGCTAAGTGAAGAAGTTCTTCCATAGCCTCTAGTTTGGCCTGCTCATTGGAGTGGCCGCCGGTGACCTAATGGGCACGAAGGGTTTTCCAGCTTCTGCACTCCAGAGGGGTGCTCGCCAGCACGGAGGTTGTAGTCGGGTTTCCGATTGGCAGCATCAATCTTAACGCATCCAACAACACCGACATCTTCCTCGAGTCCTGCGAAACTGTGTGAGTTCGACAAGACCGATGAGCGGGAAGAAGGAAATGGGACGGGCTCGCGGATCGCACTCAACGCCGGCTCGCGTATGGTACGAGCCGATGGGGTCTTGGGAGAAGTTAACGAGGACACTCAGAGGAGGAGCGTGCTAAGAGATTGACTTCGATTTAATAAGACTCGAAATTAAGGCGGCTAGCAACTTGGATTTTAGCTTATTTCGAGCGCTTTAACGTCCCAGCCGTTACGTCAAACATAATTTCTAGTAGTGCTTCATAGTGATAGAAGCATCCACGGAGAGACGGATTGATAGAAAGAGAATGCAGTAAGATGCATTAACAGCTTAATGAGTTGATTGCTATCGAACAGTACTTGGCCATCTGGCATAGCTTTACATGTTTGCATAGTTTACAATAAAAGCCTAGATGTACATACCGATCACCCTTTCCTTAGCGTGTTTACTTTCATTCCAACGCATGGCTCTCGACATCCTTAATATACCAAAAGAAGGAACTAGGAACAGTGGCTCAAAACGCGACATACTACAATCCGACCCGCTGCCTTCGAGGGCCCTATCTCGCTCGTTAGAGTTGAGGGCGTAGAAGTCACGAGCCAACAGATAGCTTCTTCATAATCGCCTCTTTCAGCCCATCGACAGTGTCCACCATCTGAACCCTGAATTTGTTACACACAATCTGCACATTCCCCCTCTTCCAGTATCCTTCCGGACAGACAACAATAGCTTTGCCAAGAACCCGTGCACAGAGCCCCAACTCGAGCAAACTAACGGGCGCTTGGGTGTCCGGGTGGAAGTAAACGACGACAATGTCGGCCTGGTCCTGCTTTTCAAGCTCCCATTCCACCTGTTCCCGGTACGGAGCAAAGTTGATGTCCTCGCGCCACGAGCTGTTCCAATCAGCGCGATACGGATTATAAATCGTGACCGGCGCGTCGGAGAGGGAGGTGGAGAGGGCGTCGCGCCAGTCGGTCGTGTCGACTTTGCTAGTCGTGCCGGCGAGGAAGACGGACTTCACGAATTGGGGCACCTCATCCGAAGGCGCGTAGATGATCTGGCTCCGTGACTGAGCCATTCTCAAGGACGAGAAGGTGTTCCTGAGGACTGTTCGAAAGAAAGGAGGGAGGAAGGGAGGGTAGAGAACATGAGCTCGAAGCATGAGCCTAAAAGGTCGCCTTAGCTAATACAGAGTTCCTCTTTGTTGAAGGCAGAACTGGCCGCTTGGGCATAAATAGTGGCCGATAAGCCGCGGGGATTGCAGCTCCTTGCCCCTCATGTTAAGCGGAACCCAGGTGTGCCTCACCTCTTTCCACCACCCCAAAAATCTTGTCTAGCAACATAGTATATTTTGGGGTCTCTGTGGGTCGGTAGAAAGTTTGAGCTACCGACCTTTTGTTGAAGAACATCTCCGGGGCACGATACTGCTCGTCGTGAACCCAGAGATTCGAGACTGTTGGCGCGAGACAATTGAATGGCTGTACCATAGAAATCAGTCACAAGGATTCCAAGTGACGGAGACCCGTCTCCAGTCTACACTGTTTAGGTAGCCCAATTTCACGCCTCGGAATTCTGCTATGTCTGCATGCTTGCGCCATGGCTGTAAAAGAGCTGCACTCATACTCAAACCAGGTTCTGCCGCACATACAATCCACGATTGGTAAGGGTTGCAGCTTGGGGATGCTGGTGAGCCAAAGCCTTCACCATAAGATGCTTGGTAGGTGCATGGAGCGTCTTGCCAAAGGATAAAAAGGTTACCCGTGTTCTTAGATTGGGGTGGATGGCTGGGAGTTTCGTTGCATGCGATAGGCTGGAAAACTGTCCTACTCACACTTTCTCACCGGGTGAAATTGTCTCAAGGCACTTTTTCCTCCACAGATTCTGTCTCACGCCAAAATCGCCTCAACAGACTCTGGCCAATATCCCATATATCCGTAAATTGCTCTTCCACTTGACCTTACTATAGGTGGCATCCACAACATGCCCCCCTCCTTGAAAGTGATGCTCGATGGCTCTTTGTTCGACATTCGGGACGCTTGTAAAAAGCAACCTGACATCTTCCGCGACACTCTCATTTCGGCCCTTCTATTGATTCCACTTGACGACCAAAACATTAAGCGCATTCAACTTGGGGAAGCCTTTCGCGGCTCTCTCCAAGCTGAGCGACACTCCACGCCATATCGCCTCCATTCTGTTATCTCAGCATGCAAGGAAGGGAAGACTGATGAGGCTTCACTTGAGGCCAAGTTTTTTGAACACGGAGGTGCTCGGGCTGTTACGGCTCTTGCAGCGGCCGCTGCAGATGACAACAACATCATGGTCCAACTGGAAAATCTGAGGAATGAGGAGCTGCAAGCGTTCTTGGAGTCTATCGACACGATTGAGTGGCATCGTGATCTTCTTTTTATGGCTGAGGCAATGGACAGGAAACGCCTGTCGATAACCTCAAAGAAAATATACCTCGTCCGGCCCCGGCCTTCTCGGAGCATTAAGACACCCATTGTGGACGCCACACCAATCCAAAAGCCATCCCAGCATTCTCGTCGTGCTGTGCGTCAGACCTGTTCAAATAGAGGCCGGTTCATCAATGTTGTTCATGATCGAAGCAACCCACCCTTCCCATATCAAACGTCATCTCATACTGGTCCTACAGATGCTGCGAAACAGACTCCTATGGGTAAATGTCCTTATACCGAAAACGCGATTATGGAGGCGGAATTGAGGGGTTTCGAATATGCTGGCATATACCAATCGGTCCCCGAAAATCAACCCTTATCTGGAGGCGGCAGCAATAGGATTGATTTGGACCGTATTGATAGCGCTCCACCATCTCTTGATGAAGTCGGGTCTGACACCGACTACTTTGGAATCGATTTGGACCAACTTAATTCTTTCTGAAAATGAGGCAAAAAAGTACAGTGTCCCCAGAACCAACACTGATGCGAGCAGGCTGCGAAATATTGAGCAGTACACCGACCTTCAGCGGCACGTCGTCCAATGTGGGTGAGGATCCTTCGTTATGATACAGCATCAAGATTTCGCCTGGAAACGTGTCAAGCGTTGTCGGTTCGAGGAAGGTGCTGCAGGGGCCGAGACACCGCAGGAGGAAAGCAACTTTGCCTGTGGTCTTAAGATAGAAATTAGCATCTGCACATATGCATGAGAGAGTTGGAGTATACCGCCACATTTATCGCATCGATCACCGGTTTAATTCGCTGCATTCGGTCAGGGTGGCTGCATTGTGCGATTTCGTCACTCCCACGGTATGGTCGCCAGTTCTTGTTCTCCATGAGCCATTCTGCCAGGGTACTCGCCTGTTCAAGGACATCCTCGCCGGGGACATCAGCACTCATATGGTTGGATATTATGCGACGTAGTGATGCACCGTCTAACCACTGAAGACAAAAGTCATGTCAGTTTGGGAGGAGATGATCTAAGCATCACACGTGGTGGTCCCGCTGCCAGGCTTGGCATCAGGAGGTCTCCAGCAAAGTCAGGACAAAACCAACTTCCTCTCCTGCAAACCAACGACGTCAAGCTGATTTGCCTGCGCAAGGATTTAAGTACGAAGATGAAGTGAGCCAAACAGGCAATAACTAAGCGTTCTCATTGATGGCTGACCTGCGGGAAACCAAGACTCTCGAAGTCGTTGGATCCGTGAGCGCTGGAAAAAAGACAGTTGCTTTCGGCAATTACTGTACAAGTATTTTCTTCATCTCTTTGAGATCCATTTTTCTGTCTCTCTCGGTCTGACTTTCATTCGCCTCTGTGTATGTGCTTACACTAAAATGAAGTTGAACGGTGTCGATCTCGAATCTCTCAAACTTTTGGAAGCAACAGGCAAAACAAAATACGGCCAGATCTTGGAAGACGATTGATGAGGAGTGCGGGGGCATTAGAGAGACGTGACTGGGGGCGAACTTGGCATCGAGAAGAGACCCTCCAAAAGCGGCGGGAAATTTCCCTGCAACCTGTGAAAGGTACTTGACTAGCGTCCTGGCAAATCTTGCTTGGCAAAGTCAGAGACGTCCAAGTTCCTGCAGACACCCTCTCATGCATCAGTGCGTCTCTACGCCATAAAATTACTACTAGAGTTGTCATGGAGTCCCTTATGCTGTAAGTTTTTGCATCTTCATTTGTATAGTCTATATTTTATGCCAGGTATGGTCTAACACGACATATGCACAAGAGAGGACCTCTTCGCCAAGCAGTGGACGTCAGCGACCAAGTCCTGCGTAGAACGTATGGAACCTCACGATCGCAGAACTATCAGAAGCTTCCGCACATATGAGGACGTAAAAGAGCATGTTTTTGTCAACCAAGATGAAGAGGCGTCTGCGGCTGCACTGCAAGAGCTAGCCATGCTCCAGCCGCGACTTATCGACCTGAAGAACTTCAGCGACTTCTTTGCCGCAGAGCTTGGTCCGACTCTTGACACGGGTACATTCTGGGGATTGCTTGGCCTACTGCTAACAGTGAGAAATACAATCATACTACACTCGCTTCCATGCAAAGTTGTTTCTGACAGACGAACGTTAGTTAGTCTTACAACACAATCAGGCAATGCGGCAAGTTGTCCAGATGCTTAAGAAGCTGAGCAGGAATTGTCATGATTTCATGCTTCATTGCCAACAGAGTTTCTCCATCAATAAGGAGGACAAGGAATCCTGCTTTGATATATGTGTGACAATCACCACGTTTCTCGCGGATGCTGTGCAATTCCTGCGCCAAGCAGACGATGATTTCTCAGAGCTGACATACCCTCACGGTGAGAATTCCACTCCGAGAAACCGTTGCATGATTATTGTGAATATTTGTGAACTAATACTAGCATGGCAGACCGGCACGATTCGAGATGGACTGAACTGACCAAGAAGTTCACCACTGCCATAGATGAGATCGAGGACACGCTCAGTCGCGTCGAGAGGGTCGCCGCCATGTATGAGAGACAGTACCGGGGTGACAGGGCTTCGTGGTTTTCCTATCTCTCCCTCTCACCTCGCGCGTTCCGAGATACGGCACTGCTACCTTGTTTCGTCCTTCCACCCACACAAACCGCCCGATTCTTCAATCGAGAAGATGTGATTGAAAAGATTGATAAACATTTCCAAGACGGCGATTCAACCCCGTCCCTACGCTCGCTGGCACTCTATGGCATGGGAGGGGTCGGTAAGAGCCACGTTGCCATGAGATATCTAGAAAAGCGGCAGATGGCCAAAGACTTGGACGCTATATTCTGGACCAATGCCGAAAATCCGGTTTCTATCCAACAAAGCTTTACGGACATTGCTATTAGGTTGAAACTACCTGATACTGGGCCAGCTACTCATGATGAAAATCGAATGATTCTGAAAGGCTGGCTGCAGCAGACTGGTATGCTCGAGAGGATCTCTTAGGGAAACTGATTGCTGACGAAAACGTCGATTAGAATGTAAGTGGATGATCATCTACGATAACGCAGAGACTAGCGAGCTCCTTCGAGACTACTGGCCTTTATCCGGTAGTAATGGTCGAGTCTTAATCACAACGAGAAACCATTCGATCGGTTTCGATCCAGCAGACGCTGGCGTTGAGGTACTCCCATGGGATATCGATACCGGCTCCAGGTTCTTGCTACATCTTCTAACGGGACACATCAGCGCCGAACTTTTGGTAAACGAATCACAGTCTGCATACAGCCTCTCTGAGAGGTTAAGTGGCCATGCATTAGCGCTGTCCAACATGTGTGGCTTACTCCACCGTCGTTCATGGTCCATATCAGAACTTGTCGAGGTTTATGATAGGTCCAGGGACTTCAAGGACGGGCTTGGACCCGTCTGGCAGCTATCTTTTGAGAGCCTCCAGCCCGATTGTGCTGCCCTATTGTCTGCCCTTACTTTCTGTTCGCCTGACGATATCCCGCAGTCATTGTTCGAGCTCAAGGAAGATGCAGAAAACCTTACGGATGACATGCTGTGGTACCTTGACTCCGATCGGTTAGGAGCCCGCTTTCCTATGTCCAAACTGCTTCCAGCAATTGCGATTGCTAACATGAATATCCTAGTCTGAGTACAGCTACAGAAGATCTGTTGACGCTTGCATTAGTCAAAAGAGACAGATACGAGCGCGTATTCTCGATCCACCGTCTCATCGCAGCCCAGTTCCGCCGCTTTTTGAGCCCCAAGGACCGCCAAAGGGGATTTTTCGAAGCTTCAATCCTAATGTACAATGCCTTTCCAAAGAGGCCGAAGATGCCAGAGTCTGCCAGAGCCAACCTTTACAACGTTTGGGACAGGTGTCAAACTTGGTTGCAGCATGTGCTGCAGCTCAAAAGTGGCTTCATGCAAGAGCGAAAGCGGAATCCGAGCTTCTCCGCCTGCAGAGAGACTTGCGAGACATGGGTCCAATGCCAACGGTTAGTCAAAAATGCGCGAACACATTAAAAGGCTAACTTATCCACAACCTCCTCCCCTGTCCCAAAGCATCTTCCCGTTGTGTACACTGATACCATTTATCAGCTTCCTCCTCGAGACGCAAAACTGGCGCGAGCTTGAGGACCTCGTCACCATCAACAAAATTGCCATGGCCACGCTACCTGAAGCAGACAAGGAGATCTACCTCCTCTCATCGACCGAAATTCATGTATCCTCGATGTGGGCATTTCGGGGCCAATTCAAGCTGGCCCTCGAGAGTCTGCTGATAGCGCACAGTCTCAAGCTGTCCGAGTGCCCAATCGACCTCCAGAACACCTGTTGGATCGAAGACAACCTGGCTACCATTCATGGGTGCTTGCTGGATTTTAGCACCGCGATCGAGTGGATCGAGCGCAGCCGTGCGACGTGGATGTGTTGGTCCGAGACGGCGGGCGTTGAGTTCAAGTGTCCCCCACTTCTGATGCTAACACATGGAAGAATTTTGGCTCATGGGCGAAGGCTCGATGAAGCAAGGGCGCAGTTGAGCGAAGCGGTAGATGGGTTTTTGTCTGCAGAGCCGTTTGTCTGGGCTCCAACGGCTACGTGAGTTCTCCCTCCGTCTCTAATACACCAGCTTGTCAGAGAACCAGAGAAACCCATAGTCGCATCAAGAATCCAATACTAATAACACGCAGTTGCAAGTTCACCATAGGACGGCTCCTCATGTTCGAAGGGAGGTACGACGCCGCGGAAAGCATGTTGATAGAATCTCAATCCATGTGGCTCCAAGGCGACAAATCTCGCGCTCTAGACTTCAACGGTATCATTGTGTACCATTTGGGTTGCTGCGCCTTGATGCAGGGAAACATCGATGTTGCACTGTAAGTTGGGATAAGCCGGGAATGGCGAGCGCGTTGTGATCAGACTTTATGCTAAGTATGATATTTCTTTTCGTTTTAGAAACCATCTCCAAGAGGCCAAGGCCATCAGCTCTATTCACAAGAACACGCATCCTGCCAAGTACGCTCGATCTCTGTTCAAGCTATCTGACGCACTGCGTCAGGTCCCTGAACGGGAGCCGGAAGCTGATCAGCAGCTCAGAGAAGCGGAAGACTTATATTTCCAAATCACCGGCAAGCCGCGGTCGACTACGGTAAAGGAGGAAGATTTTGATGCTCTTATACACATCAGTCAACGGTAGGGTACTTAAGGCAAAGACAATCTCTTTGAGACCCCTATGACATTCATGATCCTGGCTGCCCCAAATCTGTATCTTTCGCATCGCATCGCTTGCCCTACTATAGAATTGCCCGATTAGGATAATTTGTTCAGTAGCTCCGTTGTTTGCGTGTTCAGCTTCCACCTTTTGCGCAATGATGTTTTTAGTCCAATGTTTGTATTTGAGCTAAAGTACTTTCTGTTGCTATTTAATCACCGATTCGACGTCTCCCAGAACCGAAGCACCCTTAGCCCCTTGAGCCTAAAAAAGGGACCTTCCCTTCTTCATCTCTGACAATCTTTCCAGCGCCGTTTGCAGTCATTCTCCTCGCTCGCGTGGATCGATGAGTTCGTCCCGGTTTGATTTCGACTGGACTGGATGCAGCGATCTGATTTATTTCTTGCTCAGCGCTCGCTGTCTGCGACTTCTGGAGAACCACACCAGGAAAGATAGGAACATCACTTGAGCCGTCCGCGACAAAGATTCTGGGGAACAGGGTTAGGACAGCTTCGTCCGTATCGAACGCTTCGACATCCACAGCATGTGAGCTCAATTGGTCGCTGTCATTAGAGAATCGGATGGATTGCCATTCCCAACTCTCGGTTTCCCACTTAACCTCGGCTTCAAAGTGACTCTTATGTCGCTGTAGGCCCCACCAAATGTCTTCCGCCTCTTGTACCTTGGACTTCAGCTCTCCGCTAAACTTTTGAGCCGCGTCGAGCCCGAGAAGGTCCTGGACTGGGCTGAGGACTTCTCGTACCACCGTAGAAACCCTTTGTGTTGCGATCTCCCTCTGTTTCCTCTCGAATAGGGACATGATCATGCCGCGTAGAAATTCTTTCCTTGCGTTATCCGATATCTCGAACAATAAATCTCTTAATTCACTCTCCTCTTCGACGATATATGTCGGAGTAAAAATGTGATTTGTTAGTGAGCGGGACAGGACTGCCATCACCAAGAAGGTACGCATTTGTTTTGCAGCACGGGTGTTGGAATAGGGTACCGGAGTCGCATGTGTCGCTTCCGGCACCTGTTTCAACGCTCTCCATGCTCTTATGTCCTGAAGGGTAGTTAGCAGAGCTTTCTTGTATTGATCTGGTATGTACCTCTTCTTTCTCGGGAACAGGTAGCTCCTTCCATATGTTTGTTTTCACTACATCAAAGCAGGATCGCCAAACCCCCCTCATTGAGTTGCGGCTAGGAGGACAGTTAGTAATTGCTTAGTTGAGATTGAAATAGTTAGCTAATACTGACACTTCGTCGCGGGATTCAGAAGAAAGAGGATAACAGAAGTCCATTAACGCTTTGAGCTTTCTGTCAGTGTCATCTAATTGATTTCTCAGGTCTCTCTTCTCTCGTTCTAGAGCCTTGGTGCTCCCTTCGATATTCGAGATAATAACTTCTTTTTGCTCCAGATTCTGTTGGAGCTGTATTATTGTGGAGTCCTTTTCAGCCGACTTGCTTTCAAGCTCTTTGACTTTGCTTTGTGTTCGCGAGATTGATTCCTCTAGGCTTTGAATTTTATTCGAAAGCGACGTGATTTCGAGCTGCAGCTCCTGTCGGGCCTCGGTCTGTTTCTTGTTGAGCTTCTCTTGGGATTCCAGCTCCTTTTCCACAAGATCGAGCTTAACCCAGAGCTCACCTTTTTCTTCCTTGAGCCTCTGGACAGTTTCTTGATGGGATTCGAGAAATTCTTGGCGTGCGATCTTAGAGTTGGTCTTTGTTTGCTGCATTTGGCTTTGTAGATTCCCAACCTCATCTTCATTCACCTTAGCTGCTTGTCTTAGGCAGGTCATTTCATTAAATAGTCCGTCGGCGTATTTGAAACTATCTCCGGCCGAGAGGATTTTGACAGAGTCTATGAGCTCTTTGATTTGTTGTACACTCTTGCTGGGCAACATACTTTCAGGTGATTCGTATTTCGTCTCATTTGGTGGACCGAACACTTCCCCGTTTGCTTGCGATGCCATCATGCAAAAAAGTCCTCAGGGAAGCCCAATAGGTACAGTGTACGACTTGGTGTACCAGAGAAGCTGACAGAAGGGGAGAGAATCACGATCAGGGCAGCACGAAAGAGAGTCTTCAAATAAAGGTATCACCTTGGACCTTATCCCGGCCATTTGTTGGGTGGCAGGTCTCGTGCTGGCACACGAATCCGTGCATGTCCTTTGAATGCTCTTTATTCTCCGCATGGCAAAGGCGGCTAAAGGGTAGCGGGAGATCAACCGGGGGCAGCAGCTGACGCTTTGTCCTTTGAGGTTGTTTCTTGCAGGAATGCTGGGATGTTGCAGAATGAGGCAACAAATTAATTAATGTGCATCTAGTCCAACTGTCACAAGTACCGGAGTTTCGTAAGTCATCTCAAGTAGAGGCTCTTGTCTTCAAGCGAATCAAGGTTAAAAGTCTGACAGAGATTCTGCATCACAACGGCATGGTTCGGCGCAGGAAAGCCTCTGGCATGGTTTACCTCATCTTCTGACGCGGAAATATCAAAATCGGTGAGTCGGTTTAGACGTAGTCGATTCCGTAGCTAATGTAAGCTGAAAGATTCGTGTTGGTTCGTCATTGAACACTTTGCCGAGGCGAAATTTATCGACCAATACTTTCATGATGCAGTCACACATGTCGATCGGCGCCTCGTCACCTGTTTGCAGTAGCACGAACAGCACCCCCACAACTAAATGCATTTAGAGCGTTGCGCCATCGGCCCGGCCCTGCTGAACGCGAGCAAGCTGCTAGTGAAGTCTGTGCTGTTCTATCCATCATCAGTCATAGCGAGAGACTCTCGAATGAATCAAACAGATGGCTGCAGACGAGGTTGACCTTCACTGAAGCCTACCGAAAACACCCTTGTCAATGTGACTGATAACTGGCCTTACATGTTCACATGGGCTCTGTCAACCCATAGTTGCGTGCCGCAAATGCACAAGGCGACCAGTTGAAGCATATCCCAATAGAACCCGTAGACTCCGCCCATTGTAATTTGAATTCCTTATCGTGCTTTTGAGACTCGTCCAGTCCTCCCAGCTTTTGGATCGTGGTGGATAGGAGCGCAGGGATATGATTCCCCTTTATTCCATGTGCTTCACTAAACCGGTCAGTCTGCACCAGAGATTGTTCACCTTCAAGAATTCACCTCAATTGGTTGGAAAATTTTAGGGTCTCCAGGCATTGGCGACATCCATTGCTCTGTCACTGCAGCAGGATGAGATCAGACATCCAAATGCTGAAACCTTCCCTGTGTCGATTGTCGAATCCAAGTTCTTTATCCTTAAGCCCTCTGTCATCTCTGTGAAGGAGGGCTGAGAAGAGAGTTTAAAGAGTTGAATCTCACCTGGGATAGAAAGGTTTTCCGGGGGGGGCTTGGGGTTAACGGGGGAAAGGGTGCCCCCCAGAACGCTAAAGGACCAGCTGACAATTGGCCCGTTTAGGCATCGCTTATGAAGCTTGTGTACCAACTGGCCCCTATTTTGTAACTATCTCCAAAGGCACCTGCACGGAAGAGAACAGACGGGAATAGAGTCGAAGGACGTGAAGACAATGAGTGTTATCTAACGCATTAAAAACCACGGTAAATCGAGTCGCAACACCTGCACTCTCCATCACCGGTCGTCTAGTCCAGCTAGCTAAACATCCGTCACACCCCACTCCACGTGCAGGCGACCGCGAAACCAACAATGCTAGCCAGCTTAGACTCTAAGCCGCACTTCAGCCTGATCGAGAATTCTCCATCATGATTCTCCCACATTCATTTGGACAGCTGTGGCCATGGGCTTAGATTTGAATGTCCCCAAAAAGTTTTTCACGCAAAATCCAGCATTCATCAGTTAGAGATTCTTCCCTCGCTTCGAGGCCGAAGCTCCCCTTCAATTCTCCATGCAGGTTCTTGGCCCGTTTTCAGGTTCTCTCACCTGGAGCCGAACTGAATGGCCCAATTATTATACTTGGAAGTTAGAAGGCATACGTGCCCACCACCAATGAAAATCAGCGAGAATGTGGGCTGGCTCCTTGTCAAAAATTGTCCTTACTGTACAACTGTAGTACAGTAGGACTCACCGGTTAAGAACCAGCGGATGAGTTGAGATTTCCGGATTGGTAGCTATAAAGAAATCTTACCACCCCCTCAACAACCCCGGTAAGTCGCTTTGCAGAATCATTAGTATTTTCGGTGCTTAGGCCTAGATGATAAATCTCCTCGTGACGACCAATTTCAATATGTCGACTTTCTACATCTTGTTTTCCCCTCTGCGGCAGCTCACTATTGCTATCGTGGTAGATTCAATGCAATTATGGAAGTCGTTAGCGCATTCTCTGCCATTCTAACCATCGCAACGGAGTTCAATCACATTTACAAAAGGCTTCACCGCTGCTTGAGAACCCTCAAATACGCCCGGGAGGACATCAAGGCCATCCGCGACGAAGTGGAAATATTTAGCAACCTTCTATGCATGTTTCACAGGACTATCACGGATGCCCGTTTGGCGGACGAAGGGCTGTCCGCAGAGATCAAAGCATCCAAAATGGCGCAAGGCATTGTCAGATCAGGCAAAGCAGCTTTAATAAAGATTGAAGACATTTTGGACGAAGTCGAGCCGCTGAGAGCCGACAAGGCCTACCCCACTCTTGCGCAATGGATTGCTCGCTGGAAATGGTCCACGCGGAAGGAGGAATGGACACTTGTTCAAATTTCACTCAATTCTATCAAGCAAAGCGCCAATCTACTCATATCGATGGTATATTTCCAGGACCTTGTTCACAAGCTCGACAAGCTGCGAGCAGGGGAGAGAACGATACCGAACGAGATGCTTCAACAATTGTCAGTCGTCCAATTTCATCGAGTCTTGTCCAAACTGTGGATACTGATTGCCACGTAACAGATCTCTGTATACAAGGCAGGCCAAAACATTGATTTCTCGGTGCAAAAGGACCGTGGAAGAGAGTAGACGTGTGCAAGACCAGCAGGCGTATTTGTTGCAGATCAGTCAAGAAATTACCGCGATGGCATCCCATTTGGCTCGATCTCACATTGTGTCGCACCCTGAACTCGCAGTCGTTCTAGATCACAACGGGTTTCCGTCCTTCGCCGCCGGTGATTCGATAACATCAACCAATTCTAGCTCATCCGGAAGTCCCCAGATACGATCCTCTGACCCCAGCAGCCCAAGAGGGCCTCAGTCGGGACCTTCTTCCGGCCATGCACCAGTGTCTGAAATATCTTTAGATCCTTCAGATCAGGCACCTGTGTCTGGAATCCTCTCAGATGCCACAGGTCATGCACCAGGGGCTGAAATACTCATACCTGTAGAGCATGCACCTGTATCTGGAATATCTTCAGACCATGTACCTGCGTCGGGAAGGTGTGGCCCAGACTCTGAGCCTGGCACCTCCGGCGCACAACCACCTAGTCCGATTCCAGCCGGTAACGGCCAAAGCTGGGTTCCAACTGCATTATTTGGCCGACCGGAACCAAGCATACGTCCATCCAATCCCCGACATTCAGATACAAATCTGGCAGAGCGCCCGGTGATTGTGGATGATAGCCGGGGCCTTCGCGAAGAATACCGTCGTCCAAGAAGGGTGCCGGTATCGTCCTAGTAGGACTTGATTTCAGCGTTGTCGAGGATCAAGAGCCGTCTATCCTCTGATGCGTTGCTGAGCCATTGCTTAACCAGCGATTTGGGGTCTGCTTTGTCGTCTTCAATTCCTGGAATTCCAAGCTTCTTTGCGATGTCGAGGATATCCCTTTCAAAGGTTAATTGATCCGTGACCCCAGCCCAAAAGGTCGAAAGTTGTGGATGCTCCGACCTCATTTGGTGGACAAACTCCAGTGCTAGATAACTTTTGGCCACACCTTCCCAGACGGAGGATGGACATGTAGTATCTGGTTTTGTATTCATTATTCTCCAAACTGTGCATCGCCCTGGTGCCGACCGCTCCGTCTTGACAGGCTTGCCGCTTTGCAACGTCAGCAGGACTACCCTCGCTCTTTCCCTTCAAGGAAAACTTTGGCGCAAGCCGGCAGGAAGGTATTATTGCATAAGTTCGTGTGAGGCCCTGTATGATTGAGAGGTAAGGTATAAACGAGCAGGATAGTAACATCGTCGAAAAGCTCTGCTCTAAATAGGCCATTCTGTCTCCAGATGTTCTTCAGATATATGAGCACAAAGTCTCATCTCTTCTTTGGTTTCTTGAATGTCGCCTGTTCTGATGGTTGGGTAACAGAAGTTTCTGGTGTCACTTCCTGAGGATCGAGGAGCCTCAGCTCGTCGTCAACTGTGGCTCCTGAGTCCGAAAGGTGGTGGCTTTCCAGTCCTTGTGAAAGTCCAGATGATGAGGGGAATTGTAGTTCAGATTCCTCCGAAACATCAAAATGTATATCGGGCGGTATTGCATCGATTGCCGAGCAAAGCCTTTTGAAATGAACAGGCATCCAGGTGTCATAGACACTTTTGGTAAACTTGTACGCCGTTCATTTCTCTTTCCCATCGAGTGCTGTGAAGCTGAATTCATGGATGGGATGACGGTAGAAAGGATTTCGCTTTTCAGCCTTCTGATGCCTTGAGGACGATTCCCTGTGCCAGTCAGTACATTACTGAAGATGGAAGCGGATAAATTACCTTCATGTGGCAGCTTCAGAGACTGCCGTGAGGTCCTCTGAGCGGTTGCACTGTCTCGACGTGCCATGGTTGCTCTAAATGAGGGAGAAAGGAATGGGCAGCTTCATGTAGTTGCAGGCGAAGTGCCGACAAGGTCCGCCCTGAAGCGCCCAGGACTACGTGACATGTGACATCACACGAAAAGGGAATGGTTGGTCGGCAACGCTTCTTGGCAAACATAAATCCATGTCGCATATGTTGCTAGCCAAAGTCCTATAATCCGCCGTAATGATCCACCGTACCCCAATTTACCACTAGTGCAGTTCTCAGCTCGACAAGGACCAAAACCTCAGTAGGACAGGGTCCTCTACTAGTTATTTCAGCTCAACAAGGGCCTCAGGAGATGCGGAAAAGGCCATTCTAGATCCTCTCTACGCGTAATTTATATAGGAAGAGGAACAGCCTCCATGAGTAGAGAAAACAGAGACAAGTTGATAATCCTGAGGTGCGTTTCTGACTGCCAAGCCTTCAACAGCATATAATTGGCTAGCGTCGGAGTGTTCAACACCCGCAGTAGGCACCTGCCTCGAACTCAGGTGGTGGAGTGGCTGCCAGCATGATTGGATATGAAGGGGCGCGGAGTCAAGCTGTGTGAAGTCCCAGTAGCAGGCAGCCATTGGGGGACGAATATTGAGCTCAATGGGGAAGATAGGTTAGCCGGTTAAAATGCATAACCACAACATTTCACGTGGAGGGTGTCCGTACAGCATTTTTCCTGAGGCTCACTCACCCTATGATGGACGACCCATTGATTCAATACTTTCTACAAATCCCCAACCGGGACATGGTAACCATTAAACTCGAGTATTTTTCGATCGGACCATCACTCCTGCGTCAAGCAATCGAGATCTATGAGGAGTTGATTGGACAGACCGGCATCCCTCGAGTGAACTGGAATGGCTACCATTGTGACTTCCAGGCGATGGTGCTTGAACTTCTGGAGCTCATCTCGAGGATCTCTTCCGATCCTGTGCAACAAAATCTCGCTCAAGACAAAGCTGATGCTGATGGATGAACTCCTCCATCGCGACATCAAGCCTGAAACTTCCAACTAGGCACTAGTAAGTAGGGCAATATTATCTTCCATGACGATTTTAGCTCGCCACTACCGGAGTCATTAATACGATCAAGTTATGAGTCACAAGCCTGCAGCCAGACTCCGAATATCCTTCCTCAGCAGCAGCCGCTGTCCCATTTACAGTCATTTGAACGTCGGCAAATGCCGTGAATGTATCCCAACCTTTATTCGACAGCTAAACCTGGGCCCTGTTTAGCTCCATCATGACGTGACACCCTAAGTCGCTTGGGTATATGGCCTTGTGTTTTCTTCACGTATCCTTCCTCGGCAGCGGCTGAGGACCCCCAGTCGGCAGGGAAAAGTACTGGCTTGTCTTCGAATGGAAAAAGTCGATTAAAGTAACTGAACTATGCCATAGTATGCCTCCGGAGTTTACTACCTACGTGAACTACGTCGAACGACCAGGAGAAACCCGAGTACAAGTTCCCCCGGCGTCTTATTCAGTCAGCTCTTTCGTCGCAAAGGTTTCAGAATGACAATGTGTTCGACTGGACGATTCGGGATTTTAAGAGGCTTTCTGATGTGGACAACGTACATATCGTATACCGTTTAAAGTCTCAGACACAGCACCACCCTGACTGATGTGGAAGTGATCATAGTTGTGCACGTGATTGCTCCTTGTTAGTGGGCTTAGCAGAGGTCGTGAACAACTAACCGCCTGAACAGGATCTTGGAGCCACGATCACTAGTGCCTAAGCAAATGACTGGCCTCAGGTATATGAAGTTATTTTGGACCATACCGAGTTTGGCCTTCATTCACTGATGGGCAAGAAAGCCCACAAGGGCGGAACTCTATACGACTCCCAGTATCCTCAACAAGTCTCAATCCCTCTTGAATAATCGATATACATATCTTGACTTCATAGCACATTACCTCAAGGGGGATTCGCCACTGTCTTTATCCATCCTCGACTTCCTGCAACAATTTCGAGTCCAGTAGCAGTCCAATAACTTATTCCATAGAAATAATAAGAGCGGGAGCGTCGAGGATCAAGTTTCGGTGTCGAGTGAGGATTAGAGTTCCGAGAGTGTCTCAGGAAGCCCTAGTCTGCATCAGCAGACACTCGGTGCCTTAAGCAACATTCTATAGGTAGAACGTGGCTCACATCCATTGGCCACAGACAAGTTGCTCTGAGATGTTGTCCAGGCTCCCCTACCCCGACACCTCCCCTTCCGCTCACCACTTCACCAGATTTACCCCCCTACGTGACAGCCTAGGACAGCAATATGTCTTCATACTCATAAAGATCGCAGGACGGGAGGAATCGGGAATTTCTGGAGAGTTTGGTTCATGCTTCTGGCACTCAAGACAGACAAGTAGATAGCCACGGAGCTTTGCTGAAATCTTCCATTGAGAGCGTCCTGACCGCATGGATAATTGCTAACACCCCGAACTCCAAGCAAAACATGCCGAGAACAGTCCTTTCTTTCAACTAGAGAATAGATTAATTAGGCGCTCCTCGGGATAATGAAAGGTGTCCGAAATGAGTAATTTGACTCTAATCTGGCTCAAGATATGCTCACCTGGTAAATGGTAGTTTGCTCTTACGATTTTGGTCCGCTGCCGGCTTGCCGCAAGTAGGGCATTTGATCCCTTTGATGCCTTTGCCGTGGCAAGTTTCGCATTGAGCCATCTTTCGCTTCCGACAGAGTGAAGAGAAGGTAAAGGATTTAATTGGAGGGGACAAAAGTTATCTTTAACAATATCTTCAAGATATATGAGCCCAAAAATGTTGTCAGTTTGGGTGTGGGAATATAGATCAACCCTTACTTTCACAGTCCAGGTATTTGAAGGTTCCAACTTTGTGTCGCATGTGCCACCAGGAGGGGTATTTTCAGCCAATTAGACCTCAGGGGCGCTGGCAAATTCTGATTGGCTACGCGGCTTTTCATTGTTGCCCGACCAGAAACCTGCTACATCCTTGGAGTTCTTTGTTTTCTCCAACTGTCCCTTTGGTCAATCCAATTGCTCTTCGACAATTGGGACCATGTCAGATGAGTTCTACCAGCAGCCACAATGTACTTGCTCTGCTTTCTTTCTGACTAGCGATGCGTTGAATGCACATCTTGAAGAGTATCAAGTTAGTACACAACAGCTCCCAAGTACAGGACTAACTTCCTCTAGTCGCAGGAACGCTACCTATCGGCTCAGCTCGAGATATGCCGAAGTCACTCGAAATTTTACGGCGAAAATGACCAAGAAAACGACAACAAACACAGCGATCCTAGACCCACGATAAGGGTTTGTCCTGCCAAAGGATGTGAACGGACCGCAGGATTTGCTACAGGACAGAGACTTCGGAGGCACTTTCAACAACGTAAACTTCCACCTTTCTCTTGATTCACGGACAGGAAATTAACGTCTTAAGTGCAGACGTCAGCTGTGAGGAAGTATGTGTATGTTGTTTCAAGATCTTCAGATTGGCGAGCGAGTACATAAGACATGCCGACAAGCATAAAGACGCGAGCGACACGAAAGTGACTTATATACAGAGGACTTGTGATGAGCTGCGGGAATGTGTCGCCAGGGAGCTCGATCGTTCATTTGAGAAAGGCGAATGTCTACCAGAAGACGTCGGAAGTCGGAGTAAGAAAAGAGCGCGGGGTCCAGCAGGCATGGACTCAAAAACTTCAGAAGCGCAAAGAGTCAAGTTGGACGGTGTTGATGTACCGACCACGGACCACTCGCATCAACATGTTAATGGTATTAACCTCCTTCAACCAACCTCAACTCCGCTGACATTGATCAAGATGCAACTTCAGTTCTTCCTGCACAGTCGATTACAACGTTCACGCCACATCAGAGCATGCATGAAGGTGTGGCCCTGGGCAGCTTTACTGATACTTCTCCACAATTACTTTATCCTAAGCCTGTAGGAGTGCCATCCCAAGATCTAGGTGGCTTTTTAGATGATGGTTTCGATGCGCCTCTCTTGCGTGTTATGAGCTTTGTCCCAGCGTGGACTCCAAACGCGGAGTGGGTATCAGAGGACTATGGAACAGGGAATATGAGCAGCACGGCTGCAGCATTCCATGAGTAGTGACAGCTATGTTTTTGAGCTTCCAGTTGATCCTCTAAATGCGAAGTTCACTCCGATTTTTGGACTCTTCATGTCGATGACCTTTGCCACCAACCCCGGTGAGTCCGGAAGGATCATTTTAGGCCAACCGGCAAGTACTTCGTCCGTTGCAAACATGAACGTGATTGCATATCCCTGCTTAGTCTCGAAACCGAGCCGAGCATCCAAAATTACTCTGCAAGCTGTGTCAGAATATGTGACTGCAACATAGAGCGACTACTCACAAACCGCCATCTGTAAATTCAATTTCCTTGCTTTTGCAGCCAACTTCATCAAGTGCACGCTGCGATATTTCGTACAAGGACCTTTCGCCCTTCTTGGTAGGCAAGTCATGTAGGTGCGAACCCCCATAGTACTTCGCTCGCGATCCTTTAGCCCATAAATGAACAATTAGGACGCGCAGACCAGCTTTTGGACCACCCCTTCTGAAGCATTCGATATGACCTGGGTATTCATTATATCTCAGCCAATGTCCGAGGCTGCACCTGTCGAAGAAGGATTCGAGTATAGATCGGATTCGCTGAAAGCCATCAGTTGGTCACCATAGAAAAGTTTTCGCACCACATACCGCATCGTCTAGGACGTGTTGCTTGCAAAAGTCCAGGCCATATTCTGACAAGTATGGGAAGGCTTTACGCGCCATCTCTGAGATATGTTCCCCTACTGTCGAGTCGTTAAAATCAAAGAAGCCCTCATCACGGAGGGACTTCTTTGCGACCTCCAGCGAGAATATGGTTGACGCCATAAACAGAGACCTCTCGTGGCTGGATCAGAGTGAGGCGCTGAGAATGCTGATCGAGAGAAAGCAATGCGTCATTGAAATTTCCCTTCTTCTCGGAAAAACCATTTTCCCCGAGTACGTTTGGTCTCTCAGCAAAACTCAATCCATCATTACCACAGCTCAATACCCCTCACCATTCAGCAGGGATCACAATTTTGGGGTACCTCCATCACCTCTCACAGGGATCACAACTTTGTGGTACCTCAATACCTCTGACAGGGATCACAACTTTGTGGTACCTCCATACCTCTGACAGGGATCACAGATTTGTGGTACCTCACCATACTACTGGCAAGGATCACAGCTTTCGAATCAAGGCTTTTTTGCTGGTCTCTCTCTTACTTGTTGAGGAATAGCGGATGTGCCAATTAGCCAATGCTCTGATGTTATTGCCAGCCTCGCTGCTGCGGGCTGTTGCAGCTAGTCATGCTTGTTCTACGACCTACGTCCGGCGAAATTGAGGTAGCGTAAGAGAGGACGTCCTTGCTACAGCGTGGACATGGAAAATGAATACACTAAATTCCGGAGTACACCCTTGCTAGCACCTGCACGCACTATGATTTGTATACGCAGTCCTGGCCGAGATTACGAAACACTCATCAAAAAATTGCCTGGTGTAGAACAGAAGAGATGATCACGCAGGGCAGGCATTGAGAAACAGTGGACGGGGGTGGCTGGCTTCCTGGTCTGTTGACCTCAATGCAAGTTACAATAACTCCATTGGAGAGCCTTCTCCTATCAAATCGTTAATGGGAAGCTTCTAGGAGGATTGTCTGCCGGATTTGAAATCGAATTCTGGGAATGGCCACGGGCGCGTCGTCCTTCTTGGGTTGTCGGACACAGAGCAACCCGTGTTGTCCTTTGAGTCTCGTTTCATGCAAGCCTCGTCAGACCGCATATGTGCGTCCGCTTGTCTTACGCTGCTACCACTGGATCCCTAACAGCACCCTTGCAATTCATTCGGGCGGTCTGATTGACGCAAGCCATGGTCCGGCGGTACATTATGCAAGCAAGATGGGCTTTGACCTTCACAATGAGTTACAGTGCCTATCACTTATAATCAAGCCACCAGTGCAAATGAATAGCAAGGAAACTGTGGAAAGAAATGCGTTGTCAGCGATATCTCATGACTTGTTGATATCTGCAGAGAGCCAGCAACAAAGGCGTCTGAATGAGCCATAAAACGCCCATCTTCACTATACATTGGCTGAGAAGATCTGCAACTGGCTTGACGGAGGCAACCAACAATATCTGGCCGCATAATGGGCCTGTCTTCATCCAATGGAGGGAGCAGCACTTGGCTAAAATCAACGCTCGGTTGACTTTTCATGGTCTTGTCAATCAGGGACCACCTTTCTACTCTTCAGAGGGGTCACCGTGCATGTTGCCAATTCCGTGGCCATTGACAAGGTCTCATCGATCGAGATGAACTAAGAAGAACATGCCTGATATGCCAGCGCACATTGATCCAGGATATGCATGTGCCAATATGGCAGGAAGGACGTGGGGTGGAAATAGGATTGCAATCTATGATCGTGATACAGGTACGACTCATGTTGCGGTGAGGGGTATAAAGCTGGTCGAATTTCCTCCAGAGTCGAACCAGCTTACTCTTCCAGTACATCCCATTCCTTTTTGGCTTTTCCATCCTCAACCCTTCCCATGATGGCCGCATTCAACAATGCTAGCTCTCTGCCTTTTCTCTCTAATCTATCTCCCCAAATCTCCATTGTGGACTTCTTTCTTTCCTGCTTTACCAGCATACCTCCCACCATCCAACAGCTTCGAGTTGGCAACTTGAACAGTCATGCTAGCTTCCTATGTATCTGTGGGATTTTCATGTACTTAGGCAGACATGCGTACGAATGCTTGTGGCAATTGGTCCATAATTGTCTCGCTGCGGACCCCTTTTCTGAGAATGGTGATTCCAGGAAACAACCTTCTCGATATAACGTTGTGTCGATGTCACCGTCAACCAGTAGGGGCATGGAGACCCCAGACCTCGACATATCCAGTTACCAAACTAAAACGCCCCCAAACACCCCCGAAGAAGATGACGCCAGCAGCAACGGAGATTTCGAAAAGCTACCGTCGACTTGGGACTTTTCGGCCGCGACCACTAGACACATCAAGACTTTAAAAAAATATACCGAGAAAACAGACCGAGCTTCCAAGCTGGTTCAACAAGAAGGACCATGCCTCTGTCGGCTCGAGAATACCTTGGGGAAGAACTCCATCGATACAATGACCTCTCCGTTAAGCAGTACATCCGAGGCTGGGGAAGAGCAAACGAATGAGGCCAGCGGGACTATTCATGTATCGAAGCTCGAGTATAAGCGCGTTGACGAGATGTATGTATGGAACGCTATAACCGCAACCAGACTAATAGTTCCCAGATGGAATGAAAAGGAAGGTAAATTTAAGATTGTCGAGTGGGTTGGTTCAGATCTCGATAGACTTGACGAATTCTTGTTTGTCGTCCGCGAAAGAACTGGTAAGCCCTCTTCTTTCGATACCAAACCCACTAAATGATTTGCAGATAAGAATACGCTGGAGAGAACTTCTTACATCGATATCAAGTCTCCTTGGATACGGGATATCTTGAGAGAGATTTGCGAAAATGTCCGCGGCGTCTCCCTGGTCGATAGTAAGCCATCGGTACGAACCAGCGATAGTATTATCCTGCACTGGCTAATATGTGCAGATCGAGCTGAATATTATCTTCCATGTCCGCTCAGACCTCCAGCGGCAGAGGGAGGTTATTTCACGCGGCTCTGAACGGAGCACAGCAGAAAAGCACCTAAAAGTTTTTCTGCGCTACCTCGAGGCTGCCTTTCGGCCTATCGACGAGCGGTTGTCCGAGCTCCTAAAGAATAAAGAGATTTCGTACGATTTGCTCTGGGCACTCTTCAAACCAAATATGGAGGTATATACTACCTGTAAAGGCACGCAAGTATCCAGATGTGTCCTGTACAGCCAAATGGAGAGGAAAAAAGACATGGCAGGCACGCCGTACATGCACATTGAAACTCGATACCTGGGCTCAGACGGAAAAGCCTTGGGTGAAGTGCCTTCTAGCAGCTCGATTCCTATCTTTCGTGGCGCAACGCGAATCGATCTTCTCCCAGCATATCCTCTCCAGTACCACCCTGAGAAAGACGAGATTCGGAGCCAACTAGAGGAGTGCGGCCGCCGATTTGTGTCTCTACTCGGCATTCACCATCAACAATACAAGGGGAGAGCCTTCGACTACGACGAAGATGGCAATATAGTCGCTTGCCACGTCGAGGGGAACATCATGGTGGACTCCGAGTGCTTCCAGGAGAACATGCCGAACTATCCATGCCCTCGTCCTCAAAAGGTGCGGCCTCAATGGAGCGTTCTGGGCCGTTGTGAGGCAGTGAAGCTTGTCGACATCGACCCAGAACAGCTTCAGCCAGAGGACTTCCTCATCTGCAGTCCGACCATCTTGGGATTCAGCCTAGCAATGAAAAAATTTCGTATGTATGTTTGTCTTTCTAAGTGCATCTGCTGACCAGCTTTCAGTTGAGTTTGCCGTTAAACATGTCACTAATGTCAAATGGAGCGAATGTTCATTTGAGGATGTCAATATCCCAGAGGGCAAGAAGAAGGCCATCTACGCGCTTACAAAGACTTATATAGGTAGAGGAGCCGACGACGCCTTCCATGATTTTATACAAGGCAAAGGTCGTGGAATCAACTTCCTACTCTAGTTTGTTTCCGAACCTGACTTAGAAGAGCCTACTACTGACAGGCTTACAGTGGGCCTCCGGGGGTCGGCAAGACGTTGACGGCCGAAACTTTGGCCGAGACATTCAAAGTCCCGCTATATACTGTATGTACTACGACAGGCGATTCGCTTATCGATCCTTGCTAACTAATTAGGTGGCTGCAGGCCAAATCGGGGTGGACCATGTCAGAGTAGAGAAGATCCTGAAGAGTATCTTTAAGATTGCAAGCCGCTGGGGCGCGATCCTGCTGCTAGACGAAGCAGATGTGTTTTTGGCCGAACGGGCGCTCGATCCGTACACTAATGCCCTCGTGTCTGTGTTCTTGCGCGAACTAGAGCATTACGAAGGAATCTTGTTTCTCACGACTAACCGCATGAATACGTTCGATTCTGCGATCCTTAGTCGAATCCACCTCCCACTGAGATACGAGCCACTAAAGAAAGACGCTCGTGAGGGGGTGTGGCTTTTTTTCATAAAGCAAGCCAGAACAACAGCGGGTCATGCGACTTATAATGATAAGGTCATCAACGACCTAGCGGAGAAGAAACTCAACGGCCGCGAGGTAAGAAGCAAACCCGTAACTGCGAACAGAATCTGACCCTGAACAGATCAGAAACACTGTGTTTATTGCCCGTTCGATGGCAGAGTATGATGGTAAGGTTGTGAATGAGGCTTATCTGAGAGAGGCTATCGAGACCAGGAAACAGCTGGATGAAGATTTTCAGGGCGCTGGCGCGATCGAGAACACTCACTCCTATCTCTGAGGCTTCTATCCCTTAATTGATTATGCAGAATCTCATTATATAAGTATATCTGCCAGTTCTGCCCATAGATTGCAACCGCACTCATGACGAAGGGCACTAGCAATTCGACCCAGCTGACGCTTTGTCGGAGGCTTTGCCAGGCCTTCGCCCCAAGCCATCAAGAAGTTGTTATTCCAGGCTACTCGGCCCTGGCTGAGTACCTTGCTAGAGTTGCTGGTATCGATATCTCCTTCTTTGTCTTGTTATGGGCCCCCGGGCTTCTCTTGTGGACTGGAATACGTCTTACAGTCGGCCCCTTTGACTGAAAGATTGATACGACTCTGCAGCTGTATTGTCTTGATTAACGAGGATGATGAGCTTACGACCAGGTAATGCGGAAGGCAAAGGCTCAACCGCTGATGTGAAATCCGTGCGCTGTTCAATTAAGGATTCAAATCAAGTACACGGCCTATTCCGAAGCCATGATTTTCAATCGTATCAACTATTGCCTCCGGTTCGCTCTACACCATACATGTCAAGCAACCCATAAGCTTGTATCACTCGCATTGCCAATAGGATGAATGCTGTGCCGGAAAAGGTCGAAGCTTCCATTCCTCGTCCCTTAAATATAGTCGGGGACTTCTCTTGGCAGATGAATATGGGCAAGTCTCTGAAGTGCCTGGCCCCGTCGATCAACATACCGGACGGTTATGTGTTTCCTAGGATCCGACCTGCTACTATGAGGTCCAGTTCTATCTTCATTAGCACTAATGTTTTGACTGGCAAAAATGTGTCGTGTTGACTTACAGAATAATTGCGCCGGCAGCGTTACTTGGTGTGTCGCGATAAGTTTGGACGAGCTGGCTGATATACGCCTTGGCCTCTGGCTTATTCCTGTACAGCGACGCGTTTCCCCAACTCACTGTCAGATCTGGATTCGCAGGCATGGTGAATAATTACACAGTAGACAAAAGTCGTGGGAAGATTAAGAGTCAATGGGATTTGCAATACTGATTGAAAAGGAAGAGTTCTGAATTTGTCCTCCCAATAACACCAACTTGTTGAAGAACTGCTCAGGGTTCTTATAATCCATGGAAGTGTATGTGCAAGGTCCTAGGTAGCGGCGCCAAACAAAACGCAATCGGTGTGGTTGCTCGCCCGAATTTCAAGATGAAACCGCGCGAGAAGCACAACAATTTCTACCAAGTGTAGATTTGGTCATAAGTCGGTCAGGATAATGTCCTACCTTGGCCCCAAATCCTTACACGATAAGAGAGGCGATAGGCCGCTTCCTGATGCATTGATCTAATAAGCGCTGTGTTTCTAGATAATCGAATTAACCTATTGGGCGGTTTGGCACTAGTGGTGCTTTCATACGTTTTTGTGTGAGAAGGGTGATAGCCAAGCGCTAATAGGGATTGTGACGGGCAGCAGCGCCCTACATCGCCAGGCACCATCGCCAAGGAGGTAGGGTGGAGCACTTCTACGGCAACAGCATAGGCTGAGACGAACATTTCTCACTTCTCCAATCTAATCTGTTCAAGTTATTCCAGAAATGTTGATCAGAATATTTACAGAGGTGGACCTGCTTTTCTCACTGCATGCTTCGTTCGGTGCTTCTACGGCACTTTCCGACTCTGTTTCGTATCCAAACGATGGCTTCGACGCCGTCGACTCCTTCAGCAACTTTACCAAAATGCGAGAGTGAATGGCGCTTTCACGACACTAGTTATCCAAGTGAATGGGTAGAGACATATCGGCCTGGTCGCCTCCATCCTGTAAACTTAGGTGATACTTTTAAAGATGGGCAGTACCGAGTCATACGAAAGCTAGGCTATGGTTCATTTTCAACCGTCTGGTTGGCAAGAGACACAAGGTCGGTGACGGTCGATGGCATAAAGGGTCCGAGAACCCCATTTGCTAACGTCACTTACAGGAACTCACGCTATGTCGCATTAAAGGTGGTGGATGCTGAGGCGTCTCTCAAAGCTAAAACCGAACTCTCGATTTTGAACTGGATCAACGAATATCGCTCGAGAAATCCGCTGACTCAGTACATCCTAACCAATTTGGATACATTCCAGCACGTGGGACCTAATGGAACTCATCTTTGCTTAGTGTCTGAGCCCATGGGGCCTACTATTGCTTCGTTGATTGAGGAACTCACCCCATTGGAAGAGTGGACGGTTAACATTCGCTATCCAAAGCCTATGGCTAGGCGAATCTTAAAACACACGTTGCTTGGGCTTAGATTTCTACATGAGAACGGTATAGTTCATGCTGATTTGCAACCTGGAAATCTACTCTCTACGATTTCAAACGTTGATCAACTCAGTGAAGAGGACTTACGACAAGATCTATCTGGCCATGGAAGAAATCCAGCACCTGAGAGGGTTCGACGACTTGACGAGTTAGAGGATAAATGGGCTCCTCGTTACCTATTTCTAGGCCAATCACTTGTCAAGTATACTAGACTTGGTCAAGAGATGCAAGTTAAAATATCAGATTTCGGCGCCGGTAATGACTCACTTTTTGTATTCTTGAAGTATTGAGAAACTGATACTCGTCTAGCATTTTGGGCTCAGGAGCCTCCCGAATCGACTGTCACGCCCACTGCTCTTAGGGCTCCAGAACTGATTTTGGGTGGAACGATCGACTCAAGCATTGATATCTGGAGTTTTGGCTGTCTCATCTTTGAAATGTTGACTGGAGTTTCGTTGTTTTCTGTGATGGTGCTCCTTGACGACGATCGAGAAACAACCGACGACGAACATCTCCTCCAAATGAACGACCTCTTAGAGCCTCTTCCAGATATCTGGCTTCAAGAAAGATGGCCTCGAGCTAAAAACTATTTCGGCTCTGGACGGGAGAGGTTGGGTCCAACGCACGTCGACCAAGACAAACCTTATATTGATGATCCTTTGGAAGTGCGGTTCGAGGAGCATAAGCCGAATGATGTTGATGATGAAGAGGCACACTTGATCACGTCGCTCATTCGAAGTATTCTGAAGTATGAGCCATCGCAAAGACCGACCGCAGAGGAACTATTGAGGCACCCATGGTTTCAAGAGTGACCGAACCCTCTCTCAAAGCAGCAACCAATATCCTGCGTCCCAATGTCGAAGGAGAAGAAGGAAATGCGATAAGACCGAAATGCAAGAACTGTGCTCACGATAATTCCCGATGCTATTAAGAGTCCGATGGTTCCCATGCTGGATAACAAGGCAGCCCCACACCACCTACGTCGGATACGGGGGTCGAACTTTTTCCGTCCACCGAATATCCGACCTGCTACAAAAGAAGACGACGTTATCTAGACAATGTTCGATGACGGGGTAGCGCATCTGATTGAGAACACTGACATATATCGCTCACGCAATGCTATCACCTTGACCCATGATCTTCATCAACTTTTCGGCAAATTTGAAATCTATTTTGAACCTCTAGGAGGTGATGACCATACATACCTGATCGATTCGACAACCTCCGATATTTTACGGCCACCGATATTTCCCGTCGAAAGGACGCTTTTCGTCACCAGCACTAGAACAATTGATCCTCCCTCTCCGCGATTACTTGCTGTTCACAGCGCCGTTGCGCATATACTTTATATGAGTGCGGCTGGCCGTTGCATAGCTAGGATTCTCGAGAGCCTCGACCAGAACGAGGTCATGGCCGATGGCTCTAGTAGAATAGGACAGCTCATAGATCTGAGACTTCACAGTTGGTGGGACGGCCAGGTCCGCGCATATTAATTCACCGCCCAGGTCATACCATCTCAAAGGAGTGTAGTCATCGCTGTTGATTAGATACCGTCCAGGTAATTCAAATTATCTGATTTCCAAAATCTCACTTTTTACAATATGCCAGAAGATCCGGCTACCTAGTTCTCAACTCACAGCATATGAGCTCCAGTCTGAACGACGCAAGCCACAAGAGCAGCAATAGTACAGCATGTGAGGTGAAATCTCACCATCCCATATGTCATTACAGCTGGGGCATTGATATCTATCTTGCTCGTTGCAGCCTTTAGCCATAAGCTGTACCAGGTCGGCCACAAAGCTGCTCGCTTCATTTAGAACGCGCAAGAAGTTGTCTTTCTTAAGCAGTGGCTCCATATGTTTCCGGGAAACTACAGCAATCGTCTCTCGAAGCTCCTGGCATGGAGACGAACTGTAGACGTCTGTAAGTGGAAAACCATCCATGTCCCAACAGGTCTTCGCCGCATAGTCAAACTTTTCCCTCGAAAGCTTTTTTAGTGCCGCTACCCCGTACTTATCACCAACTCTGAAAACCTCCATATTGAATAGAATGGGAGATATCCGGCCCTGATGGCTACCGCTGCTGTCGTATTCATGGTCGTACATAAAGTGGATCATGGCTTCAACGTCTCGAGGGTCGGCTTCCTCGGGCTGTATCACATTGTCTATACTTTCCTAACAACCTTTACGTTAATCTCTGGAGGGCTCTCGCCATAATGGGGGTAGAGTATCACACTTTCCACTCTGGCCGGCTAAATAGACGGTTGAAGTAGTCTAACTGGCCACAAACAACGATTTTATGGACTTTGAACTCGCAGTCCTTCATTCTGATAGTAAGGTCAGAGAACTTAGACGACGTGAGAAAGCTAGAAGATGCTACCTTAGCTGCGACTCGTCGACTTGGGCAGTCCTCACATACTTCTTGAGGCGGAAGGGAAACGCGACTGTCCCTATGCTGTGATCCTTTCCTTCATAATTTCTGCTCACTATGGCCAAACTTTCCTCCTCTCCTTACGACATTGTTCTGTTCACCTATGGTGGGGAGCTTGTGAGTAGTCAGTATGCCTTGGTGAGGCGCGGGATAAGCTATTTCCCGGTTGGCCTTCCGCAATTGAAAGTGGCGCAAGGGTAGCCGGTAATCATGTGGCGGCACCAAGCAAGCGCGTGTGGACGTGCGGATTGGTGATCAGCTGAGTGCACCATATTGTCGAAGTCTCTCTCAGCCTTGGGCATTGTACTGTGCCCTGCGTAGGTGCCTCGCACATTACTCGGCTAAGTTGCGTCATGAGCTACTGTCTAGGGCAAGTGCTAGTCCGTGCACCACCTCGCCTGTTCCGGACACTTTTCTGCGTACTCATCCGCCTCTTCTGTGCAATTCACAACACTTGACTGTCAACTATAGCAGTCTCACGGGGAATTGCGTTAAGGCTTCGTAGTCAAGAACCATTAAAATTCACTGTGGAGTGCACATTATTAGACACTAAATATTAGGCAATATGGCAACCCAATTGGATATTCCGTAGAGAAAGCTTGTCTGCAGGCGCTCAGTCAGAATGTTAATAATCATAGTCCCAGCTCCTAATAACGTCCCTACAGCTGGTCGGACCTTCGTCATCCCAACCGTCGTCTTCATCGAAATCCCAATTGTCGTCTTCATCGAAGTAGTCGCATGGAGGAGGGACCCAATTCCACTCATCCAAAGTCCTATTCTGATCTTCATTCCACGGAGCCATGGCCCTATCTGAGCCGTGGGGTCGGTACTCTGGTTTGTGAGACGCTGAGACGCGCTTCATAGATTCTTCATTGACTAGGTCTCGCCACCGAAAGGTCTGCGTTCCCCAAAACCTATCGCGCAACTCAGGGAGGTACTGAACATCACCAACACAGTAAGAAATAATATCCCCGAGGATCGGGCGCTTGTTGAAGACCTCATACGAACCGCCATATTCCATTTTGAACAGTCGCTCACCTTTCTCCTTTGCTTGCTTCCAGCTCGCTCTATCACCGGGCGACACGAATATAAATTCCTCAACGCATTTAGCCAAGCCACTCAAGAATTTCCTCGATGCCGTTGTCCTCCTCGTGGCACTTTCCATAAGCTGAACATCCTCTACACCATGCAAAGCCACGCCAAAATGGGCAAATAGGGCATCTGAATCGTTGCGAACGTCGAAGAAGACCTTCGGAATCTTCTCGTTCTGAAGAATATCTTTTAGCGTCTGCCTTTAACATCTAAAGTATTAAACGCATGTGCACCCAATATTTGTACGTCGATGAGATGAATTCGTTTGGTCGGAATCCCCGTATCGATCATGAGAGTGAGGATGGAAAGGGAGCCTTCGCGGCAGAGGTCTACGTAGGGCTCCGAAATGAATAAATGAATACGAATATGGCCCATATTCATATTCGCTTGCGCGAATACGAATAAAGTGAATAATTATTCATGCGAATATAGGCAATATTCATATTCGTATTCACATTATTCACTTCCGGTTCGGCGGGTAGTTGTTCCGTTCCGACTGCCAACGACAACATTGATTCTTGACCATTGTAAGCTGATAAATGCTAGATTATACCCAGAGAAGCTTACGTCGTGCTCCGTAGCCGCTCTCCAATCTGCTAAGTGCCTAGTCTCCATTGTTTTACGCTGTTAAGAGGCACTGAAGATCGATGCGGATTTCAGATGGGGGACCTCACCTCAAACTGCTGTATTTATATTCATAACCTTGATCGACTCCCCTACATCAAGTCAATAACGCGGCGAGGAGGAGACTTGATGCACTTACAATGGCCCAAAAGCATCATACATGCCGTACAGGAGAGACTGCGCGTAACACACCCTTCAAACACGCTCTGAGCGACTCGAAAGTTCATGGTACGCGAACTTGTTTATTTCAAGACCTTTCTGGCTTAGGTGAAGCGCGGTTCTTTTCGATAACGCCTACTTCTCATGCCAGATGAACCTGACCGTCTGTTGTCGCTGTATGCCGTGAGTGAACAGCCCGCACAATGGAGGACATGGCTGTTGGTCCCCGTGAGTCTCGCGTGACGCGTAATCTACCTCGCAAAGACTACCTGGCGCTCAACAACGGGCTCGACAGATTGATTTCGCCCTCCTCGCCGGACCTTGAGCAAAGGAGTGTCTCGGACACGGCAGAATACGATGACAACGAAGGGCCACTGCCATCCGAGTCGGTCTCGCAAGTGTCTAGCGGCTGCCCAACGGTGCTCACTTTGGGATCTGAGGAACTTCGCGTGTCGGCAAACCCGAGCGTTGTAGAGTCCGCGACGAAGAGGCGAAAAACCCATACCAGCTGGACTCAAGAACACTTTTGGATTACCGAGCTTGACACCCAGTGGAGTAAAAGAGGCCGGCTTCCACAGAATGACCGCCTGCTCGTCTGCAAGCAATGTAGCTGGTCTTCCTCCGACTCGTCTCGCCACGGCACGACTTCAAATTTGCTCACTCATC